GGCACACTGCAGGGCAGATCTACACAAGTGCCGAGTAGGCAGCAACGAGTGGATCGAATTGAGAAAAAATTCCTTCTTTTGGCTTTTCGTTAAACTAGGATTCCAATCTTCGTTTGCCGCCTTGCTCAAGCAGACTTCTTCTTCTTTCTTCATTGGCTAATCGGAGGACTGTCTTCGGTGCTATATTTATCCACAAACTAATTGTCGGTAATGTTGACTCTCCTTTTCTTCTAGTTCCTCTTTTTCTCAGGTCCTTTATTAATATTCAAGAATACGGAAGAAAGTGCAATAACCAAGTCTGTTAAGAAGCACATCTATAGTCAACGGACTCTAAATACCGTGTGACATAAGCTCTTCATTTGTCCAGCCATTCCATTGCAGCCTTATTTGGTCGTTTGCCATCATTGTTATGTCTTTAAGCGGTTCCGTGTTATTTAACCGTTGTCAATGCGTCGGGGGTCCGGGCTTCTTCTCTGCACCAACTCACAACCCAAACTTGCTTGAACTTTGTTAATTCCCACAACAAAACTTAAGCAAAGTGCATCAAATTAAAATTTTAAGCCACACAATAGCGTCGGGCAGAACTTTTTGAGGGATAATGACACAGCAACGCTGCTGATGAAAAGTAAACCATAAAAATTAAATGCTCTGCTTGTTAACACATTTTTGTAATTGCACAAAGTTGGAAGGCCCCATGACAGGAAGAGAGGATGGTGGGGTGTGGTGGGGTGGTGACTGGCTATCAACAACTGAGGTTAAGATTGCATGACAATGACGACAAAGCCTCTATACAAAAATTAAAAAGAAGAGCCGAGAACTTAGCTGGCAGACGACTGACACGGCCAACAAAGCGGCGACCAGTTCGGCCAGGAAGTGCAGGGCACCTGTCGCGCCTCAGGCTCGTGCCAAGCTTTTTATTGACTTGACAGCAGCAGTTCGGCCTATGCCTACGACTAGGGCCCAAACAACTTCTCGACTGCACCCTGGCCATTGTCAAATTAGAGTCACGGGCGTGCTAAAATGCTGCCGAGCATCGAGTGCCAAGTGCTGCCAGAAATCCTCGACGGAGGACACACACAAAGCCTCAACTGGGGCGTGCGCATTTCAATTGCATTTCAACTGCTTTGCATTTTCCATTCATCGTGCACCGTTCAGCACTCACCACTCACAGCTCACCGTTTACTATTCTCTATTTGGTATTTTCTATTTGCTATTTGCCAGGACTTAAGCGTGGGTGTGGGTGTGTGTGTGTGTGTGTACGTGTGGTGCTTGTTTGGCCTTCACAAAAACTTATGAAGTATTGCATAAGAATTCTGCATATTTTGCATCATTATTGAGCTTTTGTGCGTGCCAGTCGTGCACTTTGGTCTACCACTTCAGTGTTTGTTCAAGAGGTTGTTGTTGCTGCTGTGACAGTGTGTGTGTGTGTAATGGCACCCGCAAGTAAATAGTAGAAAGTCGCTATCAGTTTGCCGGACAATGGACAAAGGAGGCATTGGGCGCAGGTGTTTGCATTATGCATGCTCCAAGGACAACCAGGTAGAGGACAGGAAGGACTTTTCGCGATATACTTGTACTTGCAAATGTAAATACACACAGCTACATACATACATACATAGGTACGACTAAGAATGCCAGTGCATGTGCTCCTATAAGTATGCTATAGATTTCTGTTTGACAATATGATGGCAGTAGGTGAGTAATGCTTGCTGTTATACATATCTAGGTTATATTTATATTTTTTTCACACCAACACAAATGAAATAATAGTAATAGAGCAAAGGAATAAATAGGAAGACATTAGCTCCTACATATGAGTAAAACAAGTAGGCAATAAAATACATAACTTGGAAAACAACCAAACATGAATATAATATGGTAGTTATTAACTAATATTTCAAATCTTTTTATAGAGCAACATAACTGCCACTACTCTACCGTAGTTCTACTGTAATGGTCTACTTATTATAATGGTTTTGTTAGAGCAATTCTTTTGGATCTCAGGCTGCAGACTGCCTCTACCAATTTTGCGAATGAAGTGCGCGTTAAAGTCCATTAAAAGTCCATTAAGCTCTCAAACGAAAAAAAGAAAAGATGCCTTTAACTCATGTTGTATGAACCGTTGAAGTCTGCTTCAGATATTTGGGGATTTGGATGTTAAGCCACCAAGTTCAATTTCGACGACAACTTATGCAACATTTTCAGAGTGATAACAAATCCGGAGGAGCGGTGCTAGAAAATGTGCCCATCAGAAAAATGCAACCACTCGAATGCATTTCCACAACCTTTCAGGCTAATCCACAAAGACAACAATCAGACAATCTGGCTGGCTGGCTGGCTGGCTGGCAACTTACACCAACACTTGCTCATTGCCTGCCATTGCTGTTGCTGTTCTTGTTGTTGTTGTTGCTGCTATATGCGAGAGCTCTGCCTCGCCCAATGAAAATTGCCGCGGCTTTTGCGCCCGGATTTATTACAAAAGCCAACAGCGAACAGAGAATAGAACTGCACCGAACCGAACTCAACTGAACAGATAACTGAGCCGAGTCGGGCTGAGCTGAGCTGAACTAAAGGGTGAAGGGTAGAGAGCAGAGGGTAGAATGAAGAAGCATTTCGAGCGTTGGGCTTTGTGTTTTCAATTGCAGTTGCTGTTGTTGTTGTTGTTGTTCTTGTTGTAGTGTAGTGCTCTCGTGTTCAAAGACAATTGTCATAATCTGTTAGCATAACATTTGCAATTTGCTGCTCGTGTCGCTTTTGTTGAAGTTGCCTTTCAATTTGCAGCTCATTAGCAGCCGATTTATGATACACATCATCAACAGTCTACGATGTCTGACCAAAATAGTATTTCAGTTTAAATTTCTATGCCAACCAACTGCCTGAATGAGGTTTCATATTATTTATACGATTTGTATTGCATTGCATTGCTTGTATGGCAGTTCTTCGATTGAAATCAAAAATCATTGTTAATCGATCGTTTCTATGGCAGCTATGTAGTCTACTAAACTAGTCCAATACTATTCAAATTAATATGCCTACTAACTTATTTGAGAACTACCCTTTCTAGCAAATCTTGCAAATCTTGTTATGCAGTCTGGTTCCCATATCTTTAGAAATTAGATTGCTTTTGATACAAAAACTACCTTTAAATCGGATCAGTTGCATGATCTATATCCGTCTATATCCGTCAATTAGAAGTCACGGCATATAGTTTCAATGCGATAGCTCCATAACTGTGGAAGGACTAATGATTGAAATGGACGGGTGGGCAGACACATCAAAGACGCCTTCTTTTTTATTTTTATTAAAGGGTATAAATATGGATGACAATTGGATGGGGATAAACATTGACTTGGGGGGAAAAATACTCGGACCTATGGTTTCGCAATTGTTGACCAATTTATTCGACAATGCTCTTGCTTGCTTTATCATTTTAATGAAGAAGTCTGTAATATCGCATCACAGCACTTGCCAGCTGCACAGCATTCTCCAAATTAGTTGTTTCCTCCTTTTCTCATTTTGTTTTCTCTGCGCCGCACATTCACTGAACAATTTCGTTTCCTTCCTATACTTTGTGTTGATGACAAAAACAGAGATGAGCGAATGGCAGATTCTGAAGCAACAACTACCTCAGCTAAGGATGGAAATGGCTTAGTTTTCGACTTCTTATAAACATTTCTAGACGCTCCCGGATCCATTGCCCTTTCTAGAGTAAATGAAGAAAATAAACAAATCTATACTTTTAACTTAATTCGCAAGGTATGTGCCCATTAAATAAAAAAAAAAATATTGTGCTGAATTATTGAACATTTTTATAGCGACAATTACGATTATTGAATTGGGACAAACGATAATGTGGACTGGCTTTTCAATGCTTCCAATAGTAAACAGATATGTTGGAATAAAATAAATACCTAAGTTAATTTAATTTAGTAAAAGCTGGGCTCTGGTTGAAGATCTTCGTGCTCTTATCTCAACAGTTTTATCACACAATTGAGGCAAAAAGTCTGTTGTGGATAAGTTACGGCATATCCCAAAATAATTAAAGACCACAAAATTATTTAAATAAACCAATTTAATCTTAGTCGCACAATTTATATAATATGTAGTCTAAAGAAAGGGTTATTTATTTATCTCAAAAGTCCGCACTAGGTACAAATATCTGAAATGTTTAATTTGTGTGCGATTGTTGTAGTTAAATATTTGGAAACTCGGACATAAGTTCTTATCCAAATGAAATGAAATTCAATTAAAAATTAAGCCATTTCTTTGAAAGTTGTCTGTATGTCCGAAAATTGCAATTACAATTACAATTACAAACTATTTTGTTGCGTCTGCCAATCAGTGCACATTGTTGCAGCACACCTGAATGGCTGGGTATGTTGCAATCATTACAGTTAGTTGGCCAATTCCATTATGCCCATGCGTATTCGCATAGGCATCCCGGGGAGATGTTCGGGCAACTTTTCAGACGCTAGCATCAAACGCTATTAAATTAATTTGCGCCATTTCAATTAGTGCCCTCGTTTTTTGGCCAACTCGATGACGCCATTTTGCACTGGCCGGCAACTTTTCAACTCTTTGGCCCAACTCTGGCACCCATAACAGCAACAAAAACAACAAAAAAAAAACAACAACAACAACAAAAAGCGACAAAAACAACAGCCAACAAATTTCACAGCTGAGTTGCCATTAATTTGCATTTACTCGTAGTTTGGCGAGCAACTTCACAAAATATATATATATTTTGTTGTTTGTTGTTGTTTTTTTTTTAGCTTTCTACGCTTTTGTGTTAATGAGCATTTAGTCAGTTAGTCAGTCAGTCAATTGGTCAGCGCTCTGTGCCAATTAATTTTAACGTCGGGCCTTTGGCATTTTTCTTGATTTGTGTCGGAGGCGCCGCCGACATTTTGTTTTCTTTTTAGTGGCAAGCAAAGGGAAAAGTACGAGTAGATTTCCATTTATTTCATTCATTTTGTTATGCACAACAATGTGCGACTTACCGTGACGCGCCTCCTCGCCCTCGGGTGCATGTTGTGTAATTGTTGAGAGCTCCTCCTCCAAATCGACATGACAATCAGAGACGTCCCAGGAGAGGAAACCTGCAAATGACAAGAGCACAAAAATGTTTAGAGTCAGTCAATGGATTGGACGATTCGACGATGGGACGGCATGAAAAGTCAAAAATAGAGCATGAATGTGACACAAAATCGGGCACAATGGTTAATTACTGAGTTGGCATTAATGGCGTTAATTGACACACTTAATTGCGCAATTTGGGAAAACATTTGATAAGTGCAGGCAACGTAATTAAGAGTTCGAGTACAATAAACCTTGTCTGTCAATCTATTGTAATTAGAAAAAAACATGATGCCAAAAATACAACAAATTGAATTTCTTACGCCTTTCTTATGACAATTACAACATTTTTGTTTTGGGAATGGAAATGATTCGAGTACGAAACTTTGATTCGCAGTTTATTTTTCAGCCAAGTTCAAAGTTTGAAATTCACAATTCAAAGTTAATGCCAGAACCATATCAAAAATGTATTGTAATTATCAGAATGATGCTAAAAATAGTGTTGTGACAATTACAACATTTTTGGTTTCAGTTTGGGAATGGAAATGATTCGCAGTTTATTTTTCTGCAAATACACAATCCAAAGTTAATGTCAGAATATGGTTCACAAACGTACTAATCATGATTTTCTTCAATTAAATTTACTTTTCCACAATATACATTCAATATTTAGACAGCGACTAAGTTTGTATGGTTTTAAATGCACAATAAATAATTCATTGAACTGAAAATAAATCGCTCGGGCTTTCATTTCCGATGTTACTTCAATTAGTCAGAAATCAGATACAAAATGAAAAAATTACCCACAAATAAGTCAGAATGCAGACAGTTGATCGTTTGCTCATTACTTACTATAAATAAATGCTTTTCAAATATTTAAATTGCTTTTAGCAAAATTGCTGGATTTATTCATTGACACCCATTATTTACAGGATAAACACTAAATTCAAAATGATTAAAAAGTCAATTTATTATTATATTTATTGGAGTAAATTTAACATTTTACCCTCAACATTTTCTTGGATTAGCTGGAATGCCTCAACGATATACTGATTATCCAGATGCTTGCACAACATGAAATGTTATTTCAACAAAAAGGTAACCCAACTACTTGTTGTTGCTGTGGTTTTTGAAAACTGTGTTGCCATTCAGCTCTTTTTCCTATTTTGAAGTTGAAATACATTTTACTAAACAGCCTAATTTACTTAGTTGTACATTAAAGGCGAATACTAAAATTGTCCACAGTGTAGATCTATAGGATTGCACCTAAATCTGTGTAACAATACAAAATAGTACAAATTATTTACAAATTACTATGGAATATAAAATATACTTGAAGATATGCTGTACTTTATTCGAGGACCCATTCAGCTCGATTGCTGTAACTGCCTTGGAAACGTTTTGAATGATGAGTATTAAGCAAATTGCTAAAAACAGCATAAATTCGGAGATGCTCGGCTAGCGCCCTTATGTGCATGTATCATATGACTTGCATCTGTGTGTGTGTGCGTGTGCGTGTGCGTGTGTTTGTAGCTCATTCATCATAGCTTTGTGCCATGTTTAAATGCTCGTGCGCACATACATTTTTCATTAATTTTATAATTACGCAAGTGTCGCGCATCCGCCCACAAACAACGGCCACCACTAGAATAACAACAGACATTTTTTGCCATTTTGATAAATGGTCAACGCACACAGCAACAATAGCCGCCACAAAGCCTTCAACCCGCTTGCATACACATCAGAACACACTCACACACACGCAAATATGCCAGCATTACGCATACGCCCTGATGTACAACATACATTAAGTGGTTTTAGTGTCGCTTTTGCTGCTCCTTTATGCTGTTGGCATGTGTCTGTGCCTCTGTCTGTGTTTGTTTGAGTGTCCAAGTTAGATATTTATTTGGCTATGGTATTGCGGTACAGTCCCCTACCGCCCACACCCCCTTGCTGCGCATAACACGACGAGTAGGTTATGTTAGGTTAGGTTGAGTGGTGTATTATGTCATTTAGCAAACAAATTTAAAGCTTTGTAGGAGTGTGTGTGTGTGTGTGTGTGTGTGTGTAACTATCATCAACAACTTTACTTGCAACTCTGGCCCGCTTTTCCAGCTGTTGCGTAAGTATTTGTAAATAGCTCCCAGTGCCCGGCATGAGGCGCCAATAGGGGCGTGGAGGGCATCATTAGCATTTTTTCCAACTATGTATACACTATTTCTGCCAGCATTTGTAACAAACGGCAAAAGGCAAGCCAAGCTATGTAGGTTCTTAGCATTTGTTTTAACGAGGTTTCAGATTCCCATTCCATTTCCGCTTTATCAAAATGACAAACAAACAAAAAAAAATGCAAGGAAACTATGTGTGTAAATGGAGCGGAATTCGAGCAGCCTTTGGGACCTTTGTTTCACTTCCATAGAATTACTTAAAATTGCTAAAAACAATGTTATATTTTTTATAAAAAACGTTCATCAACCCTGGTAGCTGTCAAAGTGACAAGTCGACTTTTTATTGTGCGCTCCGTGAAAAATTGTAGTAAATTCCTCTTTTTCAATTATTTCGCGTATAGTGCGTTAAAAAAAAAAAAAAAAAAAAAATCACCCGGAAACCTAGTTTCACCTTGGCTTTTTGGCAATCGTTTAGTATCCTTATTTTCTTGGATTCCAATCAACAATTAGTCTGCTGTATGGGGCTGCTCTGCTGACGTATACACGTCATCAAAGCAGAGACAGCCCAGAATTTTTCTTCTTTGCTTGTTTTTGCAAGTCATCTTACCTCACGTAAATGAATGCTGATGAAGACTCGGCCGCTCTCGGAGCAGCTGAGGAAGTAGTCAATAAGCTGCCGAAGTACGTGGAGATGAGAAAAATTTCTGGTAAATCACCTTCGGAGCTGAGAGCAAAAATAACCAAGGACTTGCATATGTCAATGGGAAAACCATACTTAAAGCCGTCAAGCTCAACCAGTAACTGGATTGCCTCAACCACTTGTACATCGACTACAAGTACCCTAACGTTTTCTGTGGTGAACTCTCAATCAATGTATACTACAGTAGCGACATCAAATGGCAGTTTGTGCTCCACACCCGCCGTTGTGAGTACACCGGCTTCAATCACAAACTTAGTTGCAAATCCAACTCTGGACAAATTTTGCTCGTTTCAAATGTCAGTACCCGGTATTAATAGGAAGCGGAAAGGAGCCGTCGAGTCACTAAAATCGGCTCAAAAAAATAAGCCAACTCCTGTCAATATAACCCAGGGACAACGAACTGCGTCCTCCTCTCCGCCAGCGCTTCAAAATAATAGATTTGCAGCCCTTTCGGAAGAAGCTGATTCCATTATGGAAATGGAAGAGCCAGATTCCGAAGATCCATCGAGCCAGCAAAATGAAGCCAGCCGTTTCCAGCAGGGAAGTAGTATTCCTAAGCCTCCTGCTATATGTGTGCCAGAAGTTAACAAATTGGATAAGCTGGAGGTGGCGCTCAATTCTGCTGTCTCCCCTGACGATTACGACATACGCACATCGAAATCTGGGATCTCGCGTATTTATACGAAGAATTCGAATGCGTTTCGTGCAATAATCAAATTATTGTCCAATCAAAATTGTCAATTCTGGCACCACCAGTTGAAGGAGAACAAACCCTGCAGATTGGTGCTCAGAGATATTCATCCCAATGTACCCAGGCAATTAATAGAGCGCACCTTTACCGACAAGGGCTTTACAGTTTTGAATATATATTGCCCCAGAAAACCGGACTGGCGTAACATTCAAATTAATGAGGAGGATGGTGAGGACATAAATAATGTCAAAACAAGACAAAATATGTTTTACGTTAACCTCCAGAACGCACCCAACGTTGCTGAGGCACTAAAAATAACTCAAATTGGTAGACACAGGGTTACAATATCAAAGGCCAAACAGAGTAAAGAGCTGGTACAATGCTTCAGATGCCAAGATTTCGGGCACACGAGGAACTATTGCCTTAAAAAGCCGGTTTGCGGTAAATGCTCGGGGGACCATGATACTGGCTCAAAATCATGTAACCTGAATGATAATGGGGAATTTATATGCGCTAATTGCGGCGAAGACCACATGTCGAGCTTCAGAGGCTGCAAGGTAAGAATTGATCTAGCCAAAAAACTTAAGCCAGCTGTGAGGTTGCCGAGAGATGGTCTAGTCATCGGTAGCAATAGGAGTTACCCAAACAACCAAGGCAATAAAGTACAGTTCATCTCAAACTCTGCTGTTAAGAGTGGCTTCTCTTACGCTGATGCAGCAAGGCCAATTGAAGGAAAGCGTACAATCGCGCCAACAAACCAAAACTCGCCCCGGGCACACATTTCCGCTGAAGATTGGCATCTAAACAATAAATTTAGTATGCTGGAAAAGGCGATTTTTGATCTAAACGCAAGAATGGATCAAATGTATAAGCTCATTCAGGAAAACATGGATTCCAATAGAGCCTTCCGTGACTTGGTACAAAAACTAATATCCAAATGTTAAATCCGCTGTTAAAAATCGGATTATGGAACGCACGGGGCCTGGTCAAAAACAATGATGAACTCAGGCTTTTCCTAAGTTCAAACTTGATCGATATCATGTTAATAACCGAAACGCATATGCGTCCTGGCTTGAACGCATATTTGCCAGGATACGACCAGTACTACGCTAATCATCCCAGTGGCACCGCTAAAAGTGGTTCTGCAGTCATCATTAGATCAAGTATCGCTCATTCACAGAATGAGCCAATTCTAAAAACAAGCATCCAAGCGGCCAGCGTAACTATAACGACGAATGGTGGAAGCATCAAAGTCTCCTCCCTATATCTTCCTCCCAATGAAGCTTGGTGCAGGGCCGACTTTGATCTATTGCTTGCAACCTTAGGAGATAAGTTTATTGTAGGCGGTGATTTTAATGCAAAACACCAATGGTGGGGTAATTCCAGATCTTGCAGGCGAGGAAGGTGTTTGCAAGAGGCCATAGCTAGTACTACTTGCCAAGTTCTTGCTACTGGAGAGCCAAC